TTAGATTTGGCTGTGTGGCTTGGGGTATAACCGGGGGTGTGGTTGTTCAGAGAAATTCTTGGTGACTTCTCAGAACAATTTTTGCAACTAAAATTTAATTTTCAACAAGAACAATGTATCTTATTTAAACATATTATTTCACAGGTTACTGGCAGTATTATTGCTGTGGAGCTCTGTTATGCACTCAGACACACCAACAACATAGAGCTCAGAGAAAAAAGTGACTGATGAATTTAGGTCCAAAAGTGGCACTGTCCCTCCTAAACAGGGACAGTTAGGTGGAATGTTACTATATTAGCTACTTCATTATTGAGCTGGCAAAGGCAATTGAACAAGTTCTGACCAAAACAGAACCTAGATACTTACATCAAAATAATACATAAATATACAAGTAGAAATCTAAATTTGAATGTCTTAATTTTTTTTAACATTATTACATGTTTTTGTGAATTCTATGTTTGGGGATCTGCCAGACAATCCATGCAGTCTCCCTGCAGACAGTCGGTCAATCACGTTGATCTGAGTTATGTGATCACATGATGCAGATGGGTGGGATTGGCTGCAGGGTACCCGCTTCAGTTGTCACCACGGAAGGAAAGTATGTAGAACAGCATAGCATGCCTTTCATCGGGAAGGGGGTTAATAGAGTCTTAAAATAAATAAGAGCTGCAGATACCTATCCTGCCAGCCAGTCACTGGCTGAGAGCATCAGCTGACCCATCTCAGCCAATTAATGCATTGAAACATACAGGGAGTGCAGAATTATTAGGCAAATGAGTATTTTGACCACATCATCCTCTTTATGCATGTTGTCTTACTCCAAGCTGTATAGGCTCGAAAGCCTACTACCAATTAAGCATATTAGGTGATGTGCATCTCTGTAATGAGAAGGGGTGTGGTCTAATGACATCAACACCCTATATCAGGTGTGCATAATTATTAGGCAACTTCCTTTCCTTTGGCAAAATGGGTCAAAAGAAGGACTTGACAGGCTCAGAAAAGTCAAAAATAGTGAGATATCTTGCAGAGGGATGCAGCACTCTTAAAATTGCAAAGCTTCTGAAGCGTGATCATCGAACAATCAAGCGTTTCATTCAAAATAGTCAACAGGGTCGCAAGAAGCGTGTGGAAAAACCAAGGCGCAAAATAACTGCCCATGAACTGAGAAAAGTCAAGCGTGCAGCTGCCACGATGCCACTTGCCACCAGTTTGGCCATATTTCAGAGCTGCAACATCACTGGAGTGCCCAAAAGCACAAGGTGTGCAATACTCAGAGACATGGCCAAGGTAAGAAAGGCTGAAAGACGACCACCACTGAACAAGACACACAAGCTGAAACGTCAAGACTGGGCCAAGAAATATCTCAAGACTGATTTTTCTAAGGTTTTATGGACTGATGAAATGAGAGTGAGTCTTGATGGGCCAGATGGATGGGCCCGTGGCTGGATTGGTAAAGGGCAGAGAGCTCCAGTCCGACTCAGACGCCAGCAAGGTGGAGGTGGAGTACTGGTTTGGGCTGGTATCATCAAAGATGAGCTTGTGGGGCCTTTTCGGGTTGAGGATGGAGTCAAGCTCAACTCCCAGTCCTACTGCCAGTTCCTGGAAGACACCTTCTTCAAGCAGTGGTACAGGAAGAAGTCTGCATCCTTCAAGAAAAACATGATTTTCATGCAGGACAATGCTCCATCACACGCGTCCAAGTACTCCACAGCGTGGCTGGCAAGAAAGGGTATAAAAGAAGAAAATCTAATGACATGGCCTCCTTGTTCACCTGATCTGAACCCCATTGAGAACCTGTGGTCCATCATCAAATGTGAGATTTACAAGGAGGGAAAACAGTACACCTCTCTGAACAGTGTCTGGGAGGCTGTGGTTGCTGCTGCACGCAATGTTGATGGTGAACAGATCAAAACACTGACAGAATCCATGGATGGCAGGCTTTTGAGTGTCCTTGCAAAGAAAGGTGGCTATATTGGTCACTGATTTGTTTTTGTAATGTCAGAAATGTATATTTGTGAATGTTGAGATGTTATATTGGTTTCACTGGTAATAATAAATAATTGAAATGGGTATATATTTGTTTTTTGTTAAGTTGCCTAATAATTATGCACAGTAATAGTCACCTGCACACACAGATATCCCCCTAACATAGCTATAACTAAAAACAAACTAAAAACTACTTCCAAAAATATTCAGCTTTGATATTAATGAGTTTTTTGGGTTCATTGAGAACATGGTTGTTGTTCAATAATAAAATTAATCCTCAAAAATACAACTTGCCTAATAATTCTGCACTCCCTGTAGTGTTCTTTTAACAGTTAAATAATTAATAATAATAATAATGTGATTTTAAAAAATAAAATAAAATCTTCACGTTCGTCTGGCCAAGAATGCCAAACTGAAAAGTAGTTAAAGACTGCACTGTTGACTGCAGTTTCTCTTGTGCTCAATTCATGTGTGTACTATGATGGCATGCACAGTGTTTTGGATTTATCATTTGCTGCCTGTCACCGTGTGAGTTGCCTTGTAGCTGGTGAAAATAGTTGCTTGTCTTATTACATGCAGCAGCTATTACAAGTGTTCACAAAGCACTTTCGACACCCCGGCATTGAACTCGGGAATTTTTTCACAGGCAAACAGGGTGCCAAGTATTCTATGTCGCTGGATAATGGGTTAGCTTTTTGGCTTGGAGTTTAAAAGATTTAAACAGCTCCAAAGAGCAGCACTGGAGGCTCTGAATAACCCGCACTACAGTAGTGCACATTCAGGGGCTCAAGAAACATACATTGGAGGTTTTATACTTACCAACAGTCCTGAGTTTAGCAGGACAGTCTTGCTCCCGTCCTTAAAGGGGCACTACAGTGACCAAAGCAACTTTAGCTTAATTAAGTAGTTTTTGTGCTTCATTAATTCTCACTGCTTAATCCTCTGGCCTTTAGAAGTAGACTCACGTTTGTATGGTTTATGCAGCCCTAGTCTCACCTACCCTGGCTGTGACTTAGCGATGTAAACTTGCTTAGAAGTTATCTCAGAAATAGATAATCAAATTCTAAACAGAAACAGAAGGTGTAATAAATTGAAGTTCACATTAGAATATTAGAGCTCTCTTTACAGGAAGTGTTTAGGAAGGCTGTGCAAGTCACATGCAGGGAGGTGTGACTAAGGCTGTGTAAACAAAGTGATATAACTCTGAAATGTCAGATAATTGAGCAGTGTGGCTGCATGAACTGTACATAAAAACTGATGTTTTAGTCACTATAGCATCCCTTTAAGCACAACAAATCTAAATTAATAAATCAGTAAAACAATTGTTATAAATTTAGCCGTGAAAAGAAGATTTCATGCACCAACTGAAGGAGAGGGTTTTTTTGCATTATGGCTATAATAGGATTATCACCGTCATCTAAACTTGAATTGATAATGCAGTGGCAAAAGGATCAGGCTTTCGGTGCCAGAGATCATTGCACTATAGCTACTAACATAAGCTATATTGAATATGGTGCTTTGAATGTCCCTTAATATTGTTTGCATTTAACCCCTTAAGGACCAAACTTCTGGAATAAAAGGGAATCATGACATGTCACACGTCACGTGTCCTTAAGGGGTTAAGAAGAATTCTAAGCACTATAACCACTCATTGCAAACCACTCGAGTTATAAGCAACTGGGTACAGAGAGAGGGGATATGGCAGGCCCCAACGCAGGAGGTAAATTGATGTTTTTGGTGGCTGAAGTTTCCCTTTAAACCATAGAGAACAAACTTCAGAAGGATGTGGCTATTACTCCAGAATGAATTCAAAGATGGACTTATTAGTTTCTAAAGGAAATTAAATGAATAATTATAAACATAACCAAACTTAAGAACACCTAGCCAATGCATGAGCTATAATGTAATAAAATTACAGTGTTGCAATGGGTGTTTTTTTTTTTGTTTTTTTTTTTAAAGGACAAAAATAATCTTATGTGTACGGCAATAGTTAAAATTAAGAAGAGGAATGAATTCTTACTTCAATTTAAGCTCAAAAATATACTAAAGTCGGAAAAGTAATACTGCATTGTAAAATACGTTTCAACTACTTTGGTCTGCCTTGTGTAATTTTCAATACCACGTTTAACAGCATGTAATTATTTTATTCCATCTTTACTACTTCTGCAAGCCTGTCAACATCATTTTAAGTTCTTAAAGAAAAAGTCTTGAGAAAGGTTTGCGAATACTTGATAATACGGTAAAGCAGGTATGTCAAACCTGAGTGTCTTCAAGACCAGCAAAAATCATCCATTTTGAACCAAAGGAAGGGCAATATATCTTATTCATTAACTGAAATAATGATGTCTCTTCACATTAGTTAAGCCTCACTAGTGCTTAAAATTCAAAATTCTTTGCATAATGAGATCTGCAAATATCATGTATAAAATAAAGTGTATGAGGAATTGTTTTCCCTAAAGCTAGGATTAGAAAGTTTTGCAAAAAATTGTATATAATATAATAAAGCACATTAATACACAGGTGACAAACACTTGTAGTATGATAAATTAGTGTAAGACCATATAATATTGGGCATAACAAGCAAAGCTGAATTTACATTCAAGGTGCCCCTAGGCAAAAAATACAAAGTTTTAGGTAGGTGGATGGTTGCAGGATATGCACAAGCACAAAGAGGAATAGCATGCCTCCCCAACTGTCCCGATTTTGGCAGGACAATCCAGATTTTCTGGTCCTGTCCCACCATCCCAACCAGGGAACTGTCCCCAACAAACATAGCTCGAGCACACCATTAGATACACTCATGCTATGTTCAGGGCACTAGGACTCTGCAGAGAACATTGAAGAGGCATCCCTCAGTGGGCTGGCTTTACATGATTTGCTGTCCGCCTAGCATGCTTTCACACAATGCTGACCTGCCAATGATTTGGGCGGACCTAGCCCATTTACAGGCAGGAATGCCGCCTTTGGGCAGTTCCAGAGGCATATGTTGCAGGGGAGAATAAAACATCTGTATTGCAGTTCTCAAAGTATATGCCCTCTTACACTTATATACTTTTTTTCTTTATTCTTCTGATTTTTCTCTCCTTCCTAATTCTGTCCCCCTGATTTAAAATGCAATTATACGGTGACAGAATTAGGAAGGAGAGAAAAATCAGAAGAATAAAGAAAATAAGTATATAAGTGTAAGAGGGCATATACTTTGAGAACTGCAATTTGAGAGAATTTGACCAATTAGGTGACTGGACGAAACTCTGATTTACGGGCTGGCACACACTTAAATCTTGGGGAAACTGACTTGCACTAGCCCAAAAAGAGGGGCAGAGAATGAAATAGGCTTTTTTGGGCAAATGGTGGACAAGAGCTGTCTTCTTTCATCCTAGTGTGACACTGTTATTTATGTCTAGTGCACTGTTGCTCTCCTAGCCACTATCGCTTAACAACAATTTTGAACCATCCATATAAAGTTGTTAAAAGTTTTTTTTATTGTTTTTTTGTGTCAAATTTTTGTAGAAATATAATCTGTTATTAGGGAATATGTTCAATATAAAAAGAAGAAAAATAATCCTCTAGCCCAACTAATCCCACATTGCTAGACAGAAGAGGTAGACAGACTGCTTTATTCATCCTAGTGTAAAACTGTTATGTTTGGTTATTGCTGGATTGCACTGCTAGCCACTGCCACTTAACACAAACTTGGAGTCACCAATTTACGGTTTGATAGGTTTATCTTGGTTAAGTGTTTGGAATAAACGCAAAATAATAAAAAAGGATTATCTTTCTTCAGTGCGTACTATCCAAGTTCTGTGTGCTGTTTTTTTAAGTCAGACAAAATAATATCACAGTAGTAAATCCATCAAGCACAAATCCATTTTAGCAAAACAAACACCAATATTACCTGAAAAAAATCAAGTTTGTTTACGCCATACATGATCATTTATGTTCCTAGTTTATTCTAAAAAACAAACCCACCATCTTCAATGCTGCATCCTAATCCCAAAAAGAAATTGAGGAAAGGTAGGAGAAGAGATCGAGTTCCCCAATCTGTTGTCAGCAGTAGTGCCATAGCCTCAGAGTCTGAACACTATTTCCACAGCCATGAGGATTGCTAACACCTACTCGAACACTGCCTCAGCCACTATGTCTAGCAGTATTGTGGGATTACCAGCATGTCCATTATGTCTCTTTCAATACTCAGGTGGCAAATGGATTTTTTTTTTTTTATCAATTTTGTGCTGCAACTAAGGGAGAGCTCAGCACAGACTTTGGTTTCAATTTAAGAAGCTTTCCAAATTATCCAATATTATCAGAAAACTTTCCATATTATTTATCTACAAAAAATCCAATAGACTTAATGGCGACTTCTATACAAAAAAGCATTTGAAAACTTTTCTTATAACATTGAATCATTTGAAAAGCTTATTAAACTCCAAACATTTAAAGGGACACTATAGTCACCCAGACCACTTCAGCTCAATGAAGTGGTCTGGGTGCCAGGTCCCTCAGGTTTTAACCCTTCAGATGCAAACATAGCAGTTTCAGAGAAACTGCTATGTTTACATTGCATGGTTAAGCCAGCCTCTAGTGGCTGTCTTCCTGACAGCCGCTAGAGGCGCTTCTGCGACGCTGGAGGCATATTATGCCTCCAACGCGCAGAGCGTCCATAGGAAAGCATTAAGAAATGCGCATTCCGCTCCTATGACGTCGGATGGGGAGCTGACGTCGGCGGGGGAGGAGATGTCATCAGCCCCGAGGGAGCCCGGCGCTGGAATAAGGTAAGCTGCTGAAGGGGTTTTAACCCATTCAGCGACACGAGAGGTGGACCCTGAGGGTAGGGGCACCCTCATGGCACTATAGTGTCAGGAAAACTGCTAGTGTCAGGAAAAACTATAGTAATCCTTTAAATAAGGCTGAAATCCAGGTGGCTGCACTCACCTAACATGCATACATTATAAGGGTGTTGTTGGAGCCAATTCATACAACATACAAGATCTAGCGCACTCATTCACTAAACAGCACTTTCGAAGCTTAAAGATGTTAACCCCTTAAGGGCCGAGTCAGTTGTACAAGTTGTGATCAAAACAAAATGTAAACAAAACATGGAATTTGCGCTATATGTCTGTTCAACCATAATTCAACTCTTTCCTATTAAGTACACCAACACATATTATATATCATTTTATTCTAGAGAAACAGGGATTTCATTTCATATCAAATATTTATATATGAAACAATTTAATATGAATAAAATTTAAAACACTTTGAGAAATTAAGAAAGTTTGTTATTTTTCAAGTTCTGCATGGCATTTTAACTGTTCATTTCATAACACTTAGTTTTTACTGCAATAAATTACACATGTATTCAGTGATGTGAAATAATGTTGCTTTTAAGGTGCCAGACATGGGAGTTAATGCAACCCACATCTGGTCTGCACGGTAGCTAGGCTCTGCCCCCTACATATTGTATTTTGGCATTAATATATAGAATTTTATTATTTATGTATTATATATGTATAATTTCAGGTGTTATAATTAAGTTAGAATATATAATACATGCATAATGTATCAGAGGCTGCTCTCTAATTAGGTGGTTTAGGCGGCCGCCTAAGGCCTCGCACTGGCTGGGGCCTCGCGGCCGCTTAAACCGCCTGTGACCGAGAACCTGACACCAGGAGGGGGCCCGGCGGCTTGCCCGGTATGCTGCCAGGTGCGAGGCCCCTCCTGGCTGCCCGGCCAGCCACCGCAGACACCGGTCTGCAGCACAGCAGTGTGCAGAGCTGCAGGCCATGTGTCTTGCGAAAACCGGGCAATCAGAGCGTTGCCGCGGGTTACCACGGCAACGCTCTGACATCTCGCGAGATTACATGGTCTGCAGCTCTGCGGAGCTGCAGACCAGAAGCAATGGCCACTGGACCACCAGGGAGCCCACTGAACCACCAGGGAAGAGCTCTCTCACCCCCCCCTCCTTTTCACCCTCAGCCTCACCCCCCCACCACCCTCAGCCTCACTACCCTCTTCAGCCTCACCCCCTCCTTCTCACCACCCCCTTCCCTCTCACCATCACCCCCTTCCCTCTCACATTATCCTCCCCTTCCCTCTCACATTACCCTCCCTCACTCTCACATTACCATCACCTCCCACTCACCCGCCTCTCCCTCTTACCATCACCCCCCTCTCCCTCTCACCATCACCCCCCCCCATACACTCTTCAAGCAGCTACCCCATACACATAGGGTCTCAGACAAAAACGCAAACATGCTCACAGAAACATACATTTACACACAAGGATACTCTCTGTCAGACACACTCTCAGGCACATACACATACATCAATGTGACACTTTTTTGTTAGTGGGGCCTCAAGTTTCAGTTTCGCCTAAGGCCTCATAAAGTCTAGAGCCGCCTCTGTAATGTATGTATAATATGTTATTTTAATGTGTGATCTTAACTTTATTTTATTTTTCAGACACCAGGGGGACTACCTGAGCACTCAGACAGTCCCCCTGCAGGCAGTCTCATAGACTGCTTTGCGGCCATGTGATTTGCGACGTCCGTCACGATCACATGGCCCTGGAGGGACGAAAAGGAAGCAGGGGGACAGCCTGTATCCTGAGGAAGTCCCCCTGGACCGCGGATTGCCGGTCCAGGTAAGTAAATTGCAGCCAGGGAGCTCACGATCGTTATGGCGTACCATGCCGCTCTAACGGCGTTTAGGCTCACTAAATGCGCCCCAGCGGCGTTAAGGGATTATTGGTGTTAAGGACTTTTGTTTTTTGTTTTCAAGCCATTTAATCTAGGCAAAAATAATGGAGGATTAGTTACAGTATATGATCATGCCACAATGTCAATGTACCCCATTTTTGGCAGGTCCTATTCTAGCAAGTTAATACCTGCTCTTTTGAAATTAACCCACTTGGGTAATGCTTCCTCCTAAGACTCTCTGCAGTGCGAATATAAATAGGGCCCTGGAACAAGGTAACTGTGATAAAGAGGGATGCAAAACCAGGGAGTTGGCCTGGACTCCCAGATAAATTTGCATATGAAACTCATGGGGGCTGCACTCAAGTAAAAACCTGCATACACTATAAGGATGCTGCTGGGGCCAGTGTCTTTCTACTCTGGGGAAAAAACATCTAAAAGACGCATAAAAGTGTGAGTGCATCACAGAATGTGTGAGAGCATATGAGAGAGCATTGGTTGTGGCACGTGTAGCCAGCACAGATTCATGGATGCCAGCATGGCTCAGAAACCTGGGAAAAATGACAACCCCTTAATTCACATAAACAGCTGGATAGTTGGAACAAAACATATTCAACTAACAGAATATTTTCACATTGTTTCGCAATTTATAAACACTATAAAGGCATGTCACTATCGAACAATACATGAAATCCATAGTACAGAAGTAGAATCATCAAGATATGCTATACAATAAGCAACCCAGCTCACATGCACAGTTATATACAATTTGAAAAAACTTGGCTTCAAGAATTCAGAGAAATAATTATGTGTATGAGCTAAATACTGTCAAGACAAAGATAATGAGCCGTTTGTGGCTCATTTTATTTTTAGCCAGTAGTGAAAGCATGCCTTTGTGGCAAGTCACTGTAAGCACTTTTTGTTTAAATGGGAATGGCAAAAATATACATTGCACTGCCATTTTTATTCTGCTTACTTGTTGGTAAATTAGATTGGCTAACCTAGTCTTTCAAATCCATGAAACTTACAAAAGCACATATGGCTGGTGGTAGTGACCAGATTATTAATGAATTATAAAAAGAAAAAGACAAATTCAAAAGAGCCAACATAACTTCCTATTACATAATGCAAATCCCTTGATTTGGATCGTCCAAGACTAAGCCCTCCTCCGGCCCTCTCATCCACTCTTAGCTTTCTTATTGGTTTTAGCCCAGCACATGTAGTTCAGTAATCAACTGCAATTTCATTAATTTGCACAAGCTACATATCAGTTTGCTACATCATGGTTTTAATAAACTGGGGTTGCTGTGCCTATCGTGTAGAGAGAGCTTCTCAGCATTTTGGATCTGAACGACCCTTGTGAATAGGATCAGTCTGATATGAGACGAGCTAAGGCTGCCTCTGTAATGGCTTTAATAATGGCTTTAGACATGAGCAGATCTTCTGTTTGTTTTTTTAATTTAATTTGCCATGTAGTTCCATTTATGCCACTCCATGAATGGATTTATTTGTGGC